TATATTTGTTGTTGTTATTGTTGTTTTGTTTTTCACTACAAAATGGTCCTCATTTATATCCCCCTTTTCTGTTTACTTTTGTCAGAGATGTGTATTCCATTGCCTTTCAAATATTGTAGGTGCATGAATTCAGCAAAATAATCCAATGAAGTTCAGTAGCCCATAATAGTGGTAGATTATCTGTAGAACTGTCAGTGTCGAAGTTGTTGAGTTGAGCCTTTTACAGCTCAGTATATTAATATGGCTTTACTTTTTATACCTTGTTTTTATACTTTTCTGCCAGATGGTTAAGACGAAGATAAAGCAAGATCTACATTAAAAAAAAATGTTACTTTTGTATCTGACAAGGTCAGTCAAATACCTTCAGGATTTACCCTGAAGCCCTGTACCACAGTTTGTAGATCTTTGTCAGTGTCAGCCATGTGAATGAGTCTTGGCCATTTCTTGACCAATTTGCTTTCTGTGAAAGCCTGAGAGAAAGTTTTCTCTCCATGTGACTCTCCTTAGGCACATTGTACATCATCAATCACTTTTGTCTGTGGCCCCATAATCTACTTGATTAGAAAATTTTGGACACCAGTGAGTTACAGGATGCTACACTACAGGTTCTATTATGTCCTGAGTCCTCACTGACCTTGAAGGGCTATGGCCAAAATGTTGGCTATCCTTGTTGCCTTTCTTTTTCTCTAATTTTTTGGTATGCAAACTTAAGTTGTTAACCCTCCAGAAGAGAAGCTTAATGCCTATAACATAGGCAATTGAGCTTAAGTCACTATCTGTCTGAATATCAAACACCTTAGACATATCATGGAATAGGTATTTTCCATGTCATTGATATGCTAAACTTTAAATTCCTACAGAATGTGAAAAAATAGAAATAAACATTTACACATTTTTACACAGAAATTTAGAAATCTAACCATATACAATGTTGTAGCAGGACAGTCATGACATTTTTTTCTTGTCTCTTGTTTTCATTTATTACTTTTTAAAAAATCATTTACTTGAGAGAGAGTATACCAGTAATTGATATGACATTAGAAGCAGTATGTATTTAGAAGAGCAGAATGACAGGCATTCCAAGCATGGCCCTAGTATTACACATTGCTATCCTCAGTGCAGTTGCTTAGTTCACAGGTATCAGAATATATTTTTAGTCAGGGTGAGAATCCTAACAATGAACTGCTAGTTTCAAAAACCTGATGGAGATTCTCAGGATCATTGCCTTCACCATCTTGTGTATATAAATGTCTTGCCACTTTCTGAAGCAGTTCTGGAAGTCCTTTTTGTGCAAGAATATTTAACTACATTGTCATGCCTGCATTGATGTCCTGAATTAATCAAGACACTTGCTTTTGGAGTCCTTTTAATTTTGGGAAGAACTGCAAGGTGCATGGTTCCAGGTACATGGTGTAAGGTAGCTAAGGAAGCAGCATAAGATTTTGATTTGGCAGAAATTGTCCTTCCCCAAGTGGTGTGAAATACAGACCACTGTTATGATGCAGGACAAAACCCACTTCTGAGGCCATTTTGCATGCACGTCACTTTTCAGGGGCCTCAGTAACCTCTTTCAGTATTCACTTGTATGGGTAGTGCTTCTCAGCACAAACCCAGCTTGCACATCTCCCGCAAGGCTACAAGTCACAATCAATATCATCTTGATATTTGGTCTCGATTGATGTACTTTGCTGGCATGGTAGGAATTGATTGGTTTCCACTAGGAACTCTGAACTTTAGTCTCGGGATCAGGACAGTTGCTCCACATTTCATCTCCCACAATGACACTATTAAGGAAGCTAGAATCAGCCTCAGAGCCAAGCAACTCCAATGGAGTGTGTTGACTGTGATCCAGGTCTGGTGGAACACTTTCAAACATACCTTCTCTCGGTGTAAGTCATAACAGACTGACTGCACTGAACAAATTAAAACTTGTCCCACACTGTTGCTAAGGTTTAGGACACGGAGTTTTGTATTGAAGCCCCCTGCTTTTCTGTTGCATGACACCAAGCAGCAGCATTTGCTGTATTTTGTGATCCTTCCTCATGTACATCATAGACAGAGTAAATATTATTTGACTTCATTCATATTTTGTTCTTCATAAATACAAACTGAGGTACACTTATGTAGTCTAGAGTCTATTCAGAGCAACTGCTGGTCACAGTTTTATGGATAACGATCCACTGAATTTTATGTCATTAACAGTTAGAGGACTTCCAATTGAATTGAGGGCTCTCGGTCAATACTCCATAAAGCTTCTCCAGCTACTTGTAGTTTATTTATGCTCCTAATGTTTACATAATCTTGACAAGTAACCTGTATTGAATGCAGCAATAAATATGGTTATGATGCTTTTGAATGAGAACAAATAGGAAGAGCCTAATAGATTCAACAAATAATGTAAATGGGTTGCAATCTATAATACAGCATGCTGACTTCAATAAAAGCACAGATATTGACTGACTCTTCAAATTTGTCGTTAATTACTAATTGGGACCTTCTTTCACCAGTGCACTTTACTGATTTTTAAAAATAACGAAATAGTGAGAAACTTTCATAAAGCACTTATTTCCTAACCGCAAAACAAGGCAATTACATTGTGATAAAGGTTAATTTTGAGTAAATAATCAATACTTATAATAGAAAACAAATCATTTAAGAGAATTGAAGCTACTAAATGTAAATTTCATTAATTAGTAAATCAAGTTTTATGAGTAGAAAACTTTACAAAGCAACAATGGATTGGTGACCAGGCACACTATTTATTTTCCTAAGTACATAAATTAATTAAATATTGTAGAGGTCTAGGTTTTGACTTTTCATTATGATCTGATAAAAGTCTTCTGAGCTTTGGATAGAGCTGAATTCAAATCACATTATCAATTCTAACACTGTAAGCATATCTTTTTTCAGTTGTACTGTCTTCATCTGTGAGTTAGAATTAACAAAATTTACACAGCAGGAATCTTGGGGTATTAAATTTAGACAAATGAACTAACTACCTTCTGAATCAATGATACTCAGCATCTGTAATCCTTTAATATCATTTTTGCCCCATTTATTTATTGTTATGGTGAAACTGTACATAATCCTAGTCTGTCATGTCTAAATACATAAAATAGAGTAATTTTTGCCCCCTATTTGCCTTTTGGGCCACCATCACGATTTCTAAGGCAGGAGAAGGTGCAGCCAGGCCATCTCAGATCTGGTCCTGTGGGGTAGGGGAAGCAGGGTATGCATAGTCTTCTCCATACATACAAATGAGACTCAAGGTCATGTTGAAGGTCAGGGCGAGTCAGCAAAGACCACGGAGCCAAGGGTCAAGTGTGTTGGCAGCATGCTGGCCAGGCCCGCAAAAGGAGTCAGGCTGGCTTGGCAGGGTTGGCCAGGGTGTGGCCCCCCAGTTACAACCTACTTGGGAGCATCGTGTGGACTGACTTTGCCTTTCTGAAAACACTGTCCCGAGATTTATCACCCTTCTTACTACCTACATTTCCACACCATAAACTCAACTGCTAAAGAACTGAAAATAAAGCTTAAAAAAGGTTCTAACAGTAAAAAATAAGATGGTTTCTATACACATACATACATATTTATATTTATATATGTGTGTATTTATATACAATATATACATATATATGCCATTATCTATATTCTTTGTCCAAGCTAAGCGCTTTGGAAATTGCATTTCTATCTATTTATATGATTTTATGTTAGAGCAATGAGATGCAAGTACTTTCGGCTGCTTCACGTCCTCAGAAGCCTCCCACATCAAGCATGCACTCCTTCCTCTTTCTATTTCTTCTACTTGATATATTGGGGTTTTTGTGTGCTCCTCTTTTTCTCTCAGATTAGCTTTTATTTCCTGTTCAAAATTTAACTTGAACACTTCTTGTAAATAATCCCATATTATTAATTCCTAAATCTTGACTACGTCGCATAACATTTGCTCAACATATGTTAGATGGCAGATCGATTGGTAAGGCACTGAGACTGACTCGGAGCCATTTCCTTGAGGAGAAGCGCAGCACCTGGGCTGGCAGCAGCTGCCAGGAGGTTCCAAAGGCCTCTGCGTCCCGGAGAAGGGCATCTGAGATCACACTCTGGAACCCTAACTCTTATCGTACCTAAGGATGAACAAGTGGCTCGTGGCCACTGACTACTGCAGCAACTGCGTCTGGCAAGGCATGGCTGTACATGATGGCCATGTGGTACCAAAGGCAGCAGAGAATGGTTTTCCAAAATCTTGCTTTGTTTTGTACTTTTCTCAGGTTTGCAGAGGGGGGATTATGACAACTATATAAATAATAATCAGAGCACAAACTGACAATGAAAAACATAGGTGCATGGCTGTTCAAAATGTTTATGTGTGCTATTAGTTTAGTACTAAATATAAAATAGCTAAAATCAAGAATAAGTAAGATCTTTCATCAATAACATGAAAATTTTAAAAGTGCCTGAGGGGGGAAAAAAAAAAGCTCTCAATGTTACCCTTTAAAAATTAAGGAGATAGCCATAGAGTCAATTTTAAGACCAGAAAGGAAAAAGAAAAAAGTTCCCCTGGCTACATGTAGTATTTATGTGCTGTACTGAATTAAGTCAGATATTTAATTATCACTAATTGCTTCATTTTGGATTAACTTAATGCCCTGAAAAATAGCCTTCCTTAATTACAGTTTAAAACACAGTAATATCAAAGTGGCAGGCATGGGGAGGCACGCCTGTGGCCCTGGCAGTTGGGAGGCTGGAGCGGAAGAACTGCTAGAAATCGAAGCAATAGGGAGTACAAAGCCAGCCTGGACTACGTAGCAAAGCCAGTCCTGAACCTCAAAAACAAACAAAGAAAAATAGGAATAATAAACAGTTAACAAAGAAATAAAACAGAGCAAAATCCTAACTCGGTCTTAGGCTCACACACCTTCGCGTGTCTGCTTTTCAGGTTTATTCCCTGCTGTCCTGAACCTCGCTTCTAATGCACTCATCGTGACCAATGCAACGTGTGGAGAAAGAGGCCCTGAGATGTACTGCAAGCTGGTAGAGCACGTCCCTGGGCAGCCCGTGCGGAACCCCCAGTGTCGGGTCTGCAATCAAAACAGCAGCATTCCACACCGTATGTATTTTCGATGGATTTCTATGGCACTGAGTAGGCGCAAGGAGATTGTGGCTCAGGTTACATTAGGTTTCAGAGAGCTTGCAATCCTAAGAATGCCTAGAACTTTTCTTTCAATGATTGTCTTCATGATCCCACTGTCATTCAACAAATGTCTCAGGGCCACAGTCCCTTATCTTTAGCAGGCACAGAGGTTGGAGCAGATTGTCCAGCTGAAGAGTGGTGGCAGCCACTGGATTTACTGTTTCCAGGAACACAGTTTTTGTTGTTCATTGGTTGCTTATGTGTCGGGTTCTATGCTTGAGATCCAGGAGCAGAGGCTGGGTTCTTGGCAGCTGTAAGAGCACCAAGGGACACAAAGCCGCCTACTGCTGTCTCATGTGGTGGGTTCCCAGGGGAGGATGACTGCAGGAGCCTGCAGAAGAGGGAGGAGTTCATGGGTTATGTCCTGGAGGAAGTGAAGGCTCACTGAGTTACAGCTCAGTTGGCAACCATGAATGTGTAGCAGTAGAACAAGGGAAGAGGTGAGGGAGGGGAAGAGAAGAAGGAACTTAGGCAGAGTAAACAGAATAAACAGAAACTATTCTCTGAGAGCTAGCGATGGTTAGAAACAACTAGAGCTAAAACAGTTACAGGGCAGAGTGGAGAGAAGACTTTGGTGGCACAGGATGGACACAGATTCTGGAGGGTCTCGTGGGTCACAGGACTACTTTAAGGAAAAAGACCATGCATAGACCTTTGCCTACCTCTGTGAAGTCCAAGGGAAGTTTAGACTCACTCATGAATTTATTCAGTGTTGAGTTGAGTAATAGGGAAATGCAGATTCTATATAAATGATGGCCATCAAAGGATTCCTTGCGAAGGTGGGCCATATGCTGAGAAATAGAAGTAAGTTAGACTGAAGGAGGAAAGGGCATTGTAAAAGAACAGTGAACATAAATCTTGAAAGCACAAAACAGCAAGATTTATTAAGAGAACTCTAAGTAATTTAACATGTAAATAATTTGGCAAGAGGAATAATGGTACTAGATAATTTTAGAGAAAATTTGATTTAGAGATAAACAGTAGAAAATTATTGTATGTATCATCTATTACTATCTAGCCTTATATATATCAGTCCATAGGAAAAAACTAATAAAGTGAATATTTAATGACAATTGTGGTAAGTTATAGGAATGAAGACTCATATTGATATTGTTTTAAAATTTGCTTGGTTTTGATTTTCTTGTTTTTTATCTCTTTGTTAGAATAAGTTTTAGAGAAAAAGATTGAGAAGTTACAGCAATTCCTCATATATCCCCTGTTCCAATAAATGCGTGATCTCTTCCATTACCCATAGCCTCCACTAGAGAGGTAATAATTGATAAATATGCATGAATTTATTATCATGACCCAGAGTTCAGATTAGGGCTCACACTTCTTTGTATAAATTCTATGAATTTGGACAAAGTTATAATAAAATGTATCCTTCATTCTGGTATTGTATAGCATACTTTCTTCACTCTTTTTTTATTTGAAATGTACAAAATGAAGAAAGCTTTTCCTCACAATTTGCATGTTTCAATTACCTAAAGAAAATTGGAAGCATTGTGGATTTTCCTTACAGCCAGAAAGGAAATAATGCATAATATCCTCTATTGTGGTTAATTTATGGATGCAGAGATTAAATTATTTGAAGAAACTCTATTAATAATATTAATATATTAGTAATTCTGTGATTAACTTGGTAATGTTGTATAGCATTGAATATGAGCAAAAAGACACCTAAGAAGTTCACCATTATGAACCTGTTTTAATAACTGGCTCATGTCAAGTACGTCCATTGCTGTGCAGAGGGTACAGGAGGTGGCTGTGGTGCACGAGTTCCATGTTTTGTCTTTCTTGTATGGAATCATAAGAGCAAAGGGCCTGTGTCAGAGCCCTGGGAAAATGCTTCAAGCTAAGGAGACTTGTCACGTGGAATACAGGAAGAGGGTAAGGAAAAAAGGCATTTAGAGAAAGACTCCAGAACCAGGCATGATGCACGTGAGGCAAGAATTTCAGGAAGAATAACCTTCACTGTTAGCTACTTATATGTTATGAAGCAAGACACATATACTACATTTTCCCTTGAATTTGACAGCAGGTAATCTATGGGTCACCTTGTTAAAGAGTTGACAAATGTCCATAGAAGTGGGAGAGGGGAGGGAGAGCAGAAATATTTAGCCAAGTGTCTTTGATGCAAAGGAGGATGTGGTATGGGAAGGATTTCAAGGACAGGGGACATGTGAGCAGGCTTAGGTACTGAGGGGAGAGCCCAGCACATGGAAGACAATGAGTTCATGGGAGTGATGCTTCTCTTGAGGTAAAAACAGATGGAACATTAAGAGTAGGTAAGCAAAACATCTTAAATTATGAGATTCATTCCTTTTAACTGAAAAGATTGGAAATAAGTAAGGGTAAGTAGTGGCCAGTAGAAGAGGATGATAGGTAAATACTTGTCTGATGACCCAGGCTTCCTTGTTCAGCTATGAGTCTGGGATATTTGACCTGGGAAGAAACAGAAATCTAAATTATTTTTATAGTGGAATAGAAAGGGATATCTGAGCTCTGTGAGGGCAAAGTGAGGGTCCCATGTGGAGTGAAATAGAAATGGAAAATACATTCTCATGGAGTATTTCAGGGAAAGTGGAATAAAGAGACAAAAAAATTTGAAGCAAGGCCAGGAAAGAAATCAATTGACAGACCCGAGTTTCATTAGAGAAGAAGAGATAATCTGATGGAGAGAAGCTACCATGAGTTCCATGCCTGGCGGCATTGATGATTTTCAGCATGGACATAGCAGCAGGGGAATGGAGGAAGGGGAAGCAGTGAAAATGAGCAGCTGGAGATGGACAGGAGGATGAGGGGAATAGAAACAGTGTGACATATTAAATAATATATACACATGCATGAACAGTATATATATATATATCATCTATAATATACTAAACATTAAATGTTAAATATGCTTGTTATAGAAATATACACACATACATAAATATATTTATATTGGTGGAAAAGGGAGAAAGGGAAGGAAATGTGTACTACCCCAGAGTCAGACAGAACAATGCAAGATTGGAGTCAAACTAACAAAGTGGAGACTCTTGACTAGAAAACAGATAAGATGCACTTGCCAAACAGAGCCAAAGACCCATCCTTCAGTCATTTCCTTAAAGTTTGGTATTTCAGGCCTTTGTGAAACATAGTGAAAAACATATATAATCCCACCCCATTCCATGATCTTAAGGCATTGTGTGCCCATTAGCCTTGCTTGTTAATTTGATGGATTTAGAGATTCCTGGTGATGTGACGGGGGTGTGAGGGTGCTCAGCTCTCTACTAGGTCAACCCATTGATAAGTTCATAAACCAGTGGGCTTTTAAGCGGTGAGCCAGGTTGGGGGAAGCGGGTCACAGAGACCTGACCTCAGGGACTCTGTCTTGGCTTGGCCCCTTGCCTTCTGGTTCTAATGTCCTCTGCTTCTTGGCCATCATACACTGAGCAGTGTACTTCTATCACACCCTTCTGCAATGACTTCTCTGCCTTCAAGCCAGCCCACCATGGACCAAAACCTCTGAAGCCAAAGGCCTCAATAAACTCTCTGCCTTTATGTGATGAACATCAACTTCATTGCTGCAGCAGGAACGCTGAGCAACGCCGGCAGCAGAGCGACTCAGGCTAAAGCATGGCGCACATGAGACTGGTGTGGAGTTCCCCCTTCCAGCTTACTTGCAATGCTTTGTAAGCTTGTCAGGCCTCAGGCTGCTTTAGTTTTACATGACCTGCTTTATTAAAATTCAAAATCGCATTTTGTCTGAAAACCTAGAAAGAATAGAAGCCCACAATAGTTAAAACTTAGCAGTAAACCACATGAATGTATTTTCA